TGTGTCACTATGGGGGCGGGTTTCCTATGCTCAGGATACCATCCAGTGTGTCAGTCAACTTCCTGGTCCCCCGCAAGCCAAGATGTAGCCAGCACGACATCTGCCTTCACGCTGCCGTGCTCCCCACCATGATGATAATGGACTGAACCTCTGAAATGATAAATGAGACACCCCAATTAAATGTTTTCCTTATAATAGTTGCTGTGGTCATAGTCTCTTCACAGCAATAGAAATCCTAACTAAGACAGTGTTAAAGACTGAGAAAACAGATAGTATTTTGGGACACACCATGGAGCATTAGGTGGAATAATGCATATTTTTCCAAGATTTTTTTATGCCTTAATTTTCTTGGGCATTCAAAGGTTGGAAAAGAATTGAAAATGTCTAAGAAGTTTTATAGTAAAAGTCTGCTTTTGTGAGATGTAAAAATGGATTTATTTCCACGGTTATCATCTCTATGGCCTCTCTGGCTGTTTCCTCAGCTCTCTGGTTTGCTGTCTTCAGACAGTCTTCCCTTGTTTTCCTTTGTTTTCTAGGCCAACCCTCTCAGAGTCCTACGCTGGTCCATTTCCCATCGCTATAACAAAATACTGGCCGGGCGGTGGTGGCACATGCCTTTAATCTCAGCACTCGGGAGGCAGAGGCAGGTGAATCTCTGTGAGTTCAAGGCCAGCCTGGTCTACAAAGCGAGTTCCAGGACAGGCTCCAAAGCTACACAGAGAAACCCTATCAAAAAAAAAAAAAAGACATTTTATGGGCTGGAGAGATGGCTCAGAGGTTAAGAACACTGGCTATTCTTCCAGAGTTTCTGAGTTCAATTCCCAGCATCCACATGGTGGCTCCCAACCATCTTTAATGAGATCAGGCTCCCTCTTCTGGCCTGCAGGGATACATGCAAACAAAATACTGAAGCTTGGTAACTTTTTTTTTGTTTTTTGGTTTTTTTTCGAGACAGGGTTTCTCTGTGTAGCTTTGCGCCTTTCCTGGATCTTGCTCTGTAGACCAGGCTGGCCTCGAACTCACAAAGATCCGCCTGCCTCTGCCTCCCAAGTGCTGGGATTAAAGGCGTGTGCCACCACTGCCCGGTGCTTGGTAACTTTTTAAAGAAAAGAGCTGTACTCCCAACTCACAGTGATCCTCCTGCCTCATCCTCCTGAGTGCAGAGATTTTAGGTCTAGCTTTATTTCTCCATTTTTATAAGAGCACCAGCCATATTGGATTAGGGCTTATCCAAACTCACCTCATTTTATCTTGAGTAACCTTTGAAGACCTGTCACTGGATAAAGTCACATTCTGAGGTGCTTGTGGGTGAGGATGTCAGCATCCTTTTTTGGGAGACATCCATAATCATAATGTTCCAGACTCTGTTGCTGTGAACAAATTACTCTAAGACATAATGGCCTCAAAAGTCCATTTTATTATGCGGGCAGATTCAATGGATCAGGAATTCAGACAAAGTGCCATGAAGGTGCTTGTCTCTCCTTCATGATGTCTTGGGCTTAGATGCCCTGGGATGACCTGACTGGCAGGGCCAGATTCATCTAGTGGTTTTTTTCCACTCAGACAGAGTCTGGCTGTGGGCTGAGACTTCAGTTGGTGTTGTTGATGAAGAAGTCTCACACACACACACACACACACACACACACACACACACACACACACACACAGAGGCTTCTTCTTGTGGTTTAAACTCAAGGCAGTGTTCTAATTAACCTTCACTGTCAGTTTGACACAGCCTGGAGTCATCCGAGAGGATTGGCTTTCCCACTGAGGAACTGTTTCAATTACTTAGGCCTGTGGGCCTGTTGGTGGGTGGTTGCCTAGGTTGTTGACAGATGTAGAAGGGCTTGGGCCACTCTAGGCAGCAAAACTCCCTGGGCAGGCAGTTCCAGGTTGTATAAGAATGCTAGCTAAGAAAGGGCCTGGGAACAGGCTAGCAAGCAACCCTCCCCACGGTTCCTGCCTTGAGTTTCTGCTTAAATTCCTACCATGACTTCCTTCATATGACCTGGAAGTATAAGCCAAACAAACCCCTGAGTTTCTTTTGGTTAGTATAAACGCCCCCCCCCCCCCCCACATGTGGGTTTCTCTATGTAGCCCTGGCTGTCCTTGAACTCAGAGATCCACCTGTCTCTAGCGCTGGGATTAAAGGCATGCACCACCATCACCCAGCTTGGTTAGTGTTTTATCACAAACAAAAATGAAACTACAGCAGGCAGTCACAAGATATTTGGGCCAAGTGAAAGCTTTGCTTCAAAAGACACTGTTTAGGCAAACAGGATGAAGCTGTGTTACCCCTCAAAATCTAGCACTAGGGAGCCTGTCATTTCCTGTCTACTACCCTGTCCATATAGGGACCCAAAGGAAGGTAAGATGACTCCACTTCTGAAGGGGCAGGGAAAGTTATGGAAGAATATGTTGAATAGACGGCATAGCCAAGGTCATTTTAGAAAAATATAAACTCACAAATGCTGAGCCCAAGTTCATTACAAATTATACCCGTTTTGTGTTAAACTCAACTCCACTCTCATTTGCAAATGATTTTTTATTCCCAATGTCTTGTTTCTAACAATGATACAGTAAAGTGGAAAAGTTACTTCGTCACTTTTCTTAACTAGAACACCCATCAGTCTACTGTTGTACACTTGGTCTTAGCCAAAAGGCTGAGAAGTGATAACTGCTGTTGTACTTTAAAAATCGCTCTTGGGTGAAACATCAGAGAGCTAGTGTGACTAACAGAAGGAAAGGAATGCGCCCTTCCTAAGGAGCACAGAATGGATAATTTGATTGCATATGTCTTTGTTCAGCATTTATCACGTGTCAGGTTGATGACAGCTGCCGAGGTGCACAGGTGAATAATGCAGTACGGACTGTAAATAAAGGCATGGGCTTTCGTCAGCTCTTATCACCAACACCATCACCATCATCATTCCTTAGATTTGGTTCTTGCTTTCTTTAAGCTTATAAGTTAGGAAGGAACATATGGCCGAGGCACTCTGAAAAGTTTGGTACTTTCTGATGAAGTCAAACTAATACCACACCACTATCCCTTTCCAAGTGAGAGGAAGGAATACCATCTTCCCTTGAGAGCCATACCCTTGCTCAGCAGGTCAGCATCACCTGGACACTGGTAGTAATGCTGGTCTCCAGTGGGCGCTTCCGACCCCCATGCTGCTGAAAGCTATCCTCCATCATCCTTATTTCCCCTTCCCTTTGTTCTTCCCCTTGAATGAGTTATCTTTCTTGTTGCTGTGGTAAAATAATTGGAAAAAATTTGCTGAAGAGATAAATGGCTAGCCCATGGTGGAACACGCCTTTAGTCTCAGCACTGGGGAGGCAGAGGCAGGAGGATCTCTGTGAGTTCAAAGCCAGTCTGGTCTACAAAGTGAGTTCTAGGACAGCCAGGGCTGCACAGAAAAACCTTGTCTTGAAAAAGTAGAGAATGAGTGAGTGGGGGGTGGGCAAAGAGCGGAGAGAGACGAGAAGAGAGAAGAGAGAGGCCTATTTTGGCTCACAATTCAAGGGTATGGTCCACCTTGGTGGGGATGGGGGCTTGGGGGTGGGGGTGGGAGCTTGTCATGATGGCAGGAGCTTGATGTGGCCGGTCACATTGCATCCAACGTTAGGAAGCTGTGTATGATGAATGCTCTATGACTGAGCTCTGAAACTCAAGTTTTCTTTTTCTTTCTTTTTCTCTCTCTCTCTCTCTCTTTTTTTTTTCCCTCGAGGCAGGGTTTCTCTGTGTAGCTTTGGAGCCTGTCCTGGAACTCGCTCTGTATAGACCAGGCTGGCCTAGAACTCACAGACACCTGCCCGCCTCTGCCTCCTGAGCGCTGTGATTAAAGTTGCCGGGCAGAGTGAGTTCCAGGAAAGGTGCAAAGCTATACAGAGAAACCCTGTCTCAAAAAAACAAACAAACAGCCGGGCGGTGGTGGCGCACGCCTTTAATCCCAGCACTCGGGAGGCAGAGACAGGCGGATCTCTGTGAGTTCGAGGCCAGCCTGGTCTACAGAGCGAGATCCAGGAAAGGCGCAAAGCTACACAGAGAAACCCTGTCTCGAAAAAACGAAAAAACCAAAACAAACAAACAAACAAACAAATAAAGACGTGCACCACCACTGCCCGGCGAAACTCAAATTTTCAACATTTAATTTTAAGATAAAGCCATTTACGTATATTTGTAAAAAAAAAAAAAAAAGAAAAGAAAAGGTTGGTGGGAAGAACCATGTTAAAAGGGCTGGAAGATACAGTTTACTGTGTAAAGCTCTGGGCTGATCCCAAACACCAAAGGAGGTAGAGGGGTATGAAAAGACGAATAGTGCCAGAAAGATCGTGATGACTTGAGAGGGTAGCTGTACCAGGTTTAGCAGCTAGAAGTATAGTAAGTCCAGCCAAATACGAGTTCCAGAAAGACAGCAGATAATTTCCTGTCTTCTGTATTGCTGGGTTTCCTACCCGCTATCTAGCAACCCTAAAACGAGAGCGCAATATATGAAGGGATTGTAGGCTCGCATGTAGTGGGAGTCAGAACTTTAAAACCCTTCCCAGCTGTCACATTCCAACACTCTAAAATGAATTGCCATTTCTACCCGAAAGGAAACTGCTTTGAATTTCAGCCTCACCCTTTGCTCCACGATGGACAAACTGGCAGGAAAATGCTAGACCAAAAGCTATGGAAAAGTTCTAGCTTGGAAAACCAGCTCCTAAGTGATGTGGAGATTTCTGTACTGCATAAGGGGACTGGATTGGGTGCACTGGACAGTGAGTCACAGGGCCCCTGGCTGGGCTCCAACTCGGGACTCCAGCTCAACTCTACGACGGGCAGGAGCTTCAGCCAAAGGCCCCAGTGCGCGCCTGCGCTGCCGCTGCTCCGCCCTCTCTCAGCCCTGCATCCGGGTCTCGGGAAGGGGCGTGCCCGGCCGGAGGGGCGGTCCGCAGAGGAAGGGAAGGATGTCGTGGGAAGCTGGAGTGCAGGGAGGGATGTAGGCGGGGCGGGGGGCGGGGCGGCGCGCGGGGTCACGTGACGTGCGTGGCGACGTGTCGGCCATCTTGTGTTGTTGAGGCTGAGGATTGACTTGGGTTCTGAGAGACTCCTGTCCCGGACCGCAGGTAACCAGTGGCTCGGTGTGTCTCCCCTGCCCGCGGCCATCCCGCGCCCAGGGCCCGCTGTAGCTCCCCAAGCCGCCATGGCCTGGCGCCCACCGTCGCGTCCCCGCCATTCCGGCCCGAGCCGGCCGCATGGACACACTTGAGGCTACCCTGCAGCGGCTGCGGCCGGCTGGGGGCGTCAGACGTGTGGACAGGGCAGGTGCGGGGTCGGCAGGATCCTCTTCCAGTGCGTGGGCCGCTGCGGGCCAGGGCGCGTTCCGGCCGAGGGCAGCCCCCTGCCTTCGCCCCTGTGGCATCGCGGGGGGAAGCCGCGGAGAGGAGGCGGGAGGCGGGGTGGGCAGTGTCAGGCCGGAGGGCTCGCCTTCCGCTGCCCGCTCCTCGGGGCCGGCCGCCCGCGCAGCCTCGGGGTGCCCCGGCTAACAGCTGCTGCGAGCCGACAGCTGCTCCTGCCGGCGCTCCTGCCCGCACCTGCCCCGGGGAGGTGCGCCCTTGCCTTCCCCACCGAGCATCTGGACTGGGGAAGACTGCTTCCTCGGCCGCAGGACTGGTCTGGAGCAGGCCCCAGGCGAGGTGGAGTCATGATCTGATCCTGGGACTGAGAGGCTTGGGAAAGTAGAGCCCGGGGCAGCTCCGGGCCCCCGAATGTTCACACCGGGTTGAAATGGGCAAGCAGTTTCCCACGAAGCACTCTTGAACACTTCAGTTTTGTGGCTGAAATATCAGTCAGTCAAGTGAGCAGGGAAGGGAGGGTATGAAATAGGAAAGAAGCAGGGTGTGTGACCGCGTTTGGGAAGCAGTAACGTTGCTTTGCATTTATCTAGCACTGTCCCCCCTCACCTCCCGTTTTCTTGAAAGTCAAAGCACTTCAACACACCTAGTGGCTCTATTAGGAAGGGAAGAAGTCCAACATAACTTAAGAAATTAAGGGACTTGAATCCGTGAAGGCTTCCTGCCATGTACCTTGGATCATAGGTAGTTTTGGCTCAGACTATAGTCTTCTGTAGTTTCTCTCAACAATAACTTCATGATAAAATTTATCCTCCTTTTTGTATGTTAATTTTCATCCTTTAATTTTGTGGCTCTGACCAGCTGATATTGCCCATTTTGGTTAGAACACATACTTTGTCCTCATTTAGTGATGTTTTTCTAGTGTAGCAGCTTTTGAATTGCTTAAACTGGGATGTATACTTTATTGTCACATTAGAAGACACTAGAAAAACACTTAGAAGTGACACGTATCTGGAAAAATATCACCAACATTGAGGAGTTAACATAGATAATGTTAGTGATTTGCTAGAAAGGAAAAGCCCATACCTTGTTTGCTATTTGACAGAGACTTTAGGGTTTTGTGGTTGGAGAAGAAGGGACTATTTACTATTTGCTGCCAGTCATTCTTTTTTGGACAAACTTCAAGTGCTTGCTGAGAACAAAAATTTCTGTTGTGGAGCTCATTTCTAAACATCTAAACACTTACGTAAAAATATGCAAATGCTTCCTGATGTAATGATGGGGCTACATCCCTTAACCTGATTGAAAGTTGAAAATATTGTAAGCTGAAAATGCATTTAATGCAGTCAGCCTACTACCCATTATAACAGCAAAGCCTCCTGTAGAGTCTTACTTCCCCCTCGTGATTGTATGGCTAGATTGTGATACTGTGGCTCTCTGTTCCTAGCCAGCCATGCTAGGGAGTATTGGACCACGTATTGCTAACTCAGGAAGAAAATAAAATTTGAGGAATGATTTCCACTGACCGCATATTGTTTTTACATCATAGTAAAGTGGAAAATCTTAAGTCAAACAGTTCTGTGCAGGGAGCATCTGTATAATGTAGGAGTAATTGATGTTGAAAAAAATGAGATAGGGAGACAGGATAATAGTTGTGGGAAGGGTTAATTTTTAAATTTAGTCCCTTGAGGGGACTTTACAGGTAAGCTCAAATTTGAGGAAACACCTCGTAGGTAGAAGGCAGGGTGCTTCAGCCTAAGGCAAAAAGGGCAAAAACCCTAAGACAAAGACAAAACTTAGGTGGGACCTATCAAGGGCTTGCTGGGAAGAGCATGAGGCTGTCTAGTCTGGAAAGACTGGAGTGAGGAAGAAACTGAGCAATGTGTCTACACATTGATTAGATGGACCATTCACTGTTCTGGAATCTTTTCTTTTTCCTTGTGACTTTGTTTTTTTTCTTTTCTTTTTTTTAAATTTATTTTTGTGCATTGGTGTTTTCCCTGCATATATGTTTGTGTGAGGGCATTGGATCCTGGAGTTACAGACGTTTGTGAGCTGCCATGTTGGTGCTGGGAATTGAACCTGGGTTCTCTGGAAGACCCGGTGCTCTTAGCTGCTGAGCCATCTTTCCAGGCCCCCCTCCTTGTGACTTTGACTCTGTGTGTGTGTGTGTGTGTGAGAGAGAGAGAGAGAGACAGAGAAAGAGAGAGAGAGACAGACAGAGAGACAGACAGAGACACTGACACTGTGTAACCCAGACTGGCCTCAAACTTGCTATTCTCCTGTCTCAGTCTTCTAAGTGATGAGTTCTATGGAAAATCAGATTCTGTAGACTTAAGCCAAGACCCCTCCCTCCCATTCCTTTGGAAAACTCAGGATGTTCATATGTTTCAGGGAATTCTAATGAATTATTTTAAAAGTAAGTTTTTAGATGTGATTGGTGTTAGGCTGCCTGAACATACTTTTCAGTAGGAATGGCCTTTAGGAAGGGCATCCCAGCATCTTGACTGACTGAAGTAGGAACATACAAACTCAGGGATTACCTGGTAACTTGGTGAGACACTAAGACTCAAAAGAGCCAGGAATAATAGCTCACTGGTAGACTACTTCATGCCTGATGACTAGGTTCAGTATTCAGTACTCAAAACAAAAAAAAGAATTGGAAATTTTAGAGTATTTGGAAATGGAGGGAAATGAAGAATTGCCCTTGGACACTAGTGATTAAGGAATATAATCAAATGAATTAGTGTATTAACTCAAATTATCCATAAGTGGTTAATAAGGAGTGTCTTGTAATTCTCTATAGCCCTGCCTGTTTTTACTGGCTCAGGGACCCTTTCCCCTAATATGTATTGGTATCCCTTACATGATTTTGTTGTGTAGAGTGCTACCTGTTTTTCCTTTTTCACTTTTCAGACTAACTCTCAAATTGATACGCTTAATAGACTAGTGAATTTTTTTTCCTGAGAGCCTTTCAGCTTATTTTTATATTCGTAAATGGCTGATTTAATAATCTTTCATTTTAATTTACCTGATAAATGTAGTATTTTGACTTTTGAGGCATTTTTTTTTTTTGCTGATGAATTACCTGTATGAAAAATAATTTATAGTAGACTTGCCTCAAAGTCCCATGAAGCTAGGAATTACAAGGTCAGAGTATGAATGGAGTTTTGCAGCTCGAGGACATAGTGATGGTGGTGCTGAGGTGGTGTTTTCAATAATTACATCTACATCGTGTTCCCATGCTGAATCTTTGAAATGACATTTCCAAATTATAATGTCTCTGATGTCATATCAGTTTATTTGTTCTCATGACTCTGCATTTTAATACTCTGTACATGTCTTTTCTTTTTGTTGACCTTCACAAGGGAAGATATGTTGATAGTAATTGCTGTCTGGGAAGACCTTTTTAGGTGGAAAGATAAATTTTATTCCTGGATTTTCTAAAAGATCTCTGGTTTGTACCACTTAAAAAATACTGACTTTTTTTCCAGTTCTTCATTAGTCCCTGCTTACTAAATTTAATGTACTTTCTGTTTTATTCTATAGTTGGACCAGTCTCATAGGTTGAATCTACAATTTATGTGATGTTAATCTACGTATATTAGAGGCAAGTTAAATGTCTCATTTTCCTTCAATAGTTTGAATTTTCTTAATGTTGCTTGTTCATTCTTTTAAAAATCTGAACCTATTTTAAAAATTTGCCCTTGATCTGCATTAGCATTTTTTAAAAATTACGTGTGTGTGTGTGTGTGTGTGTGTGTGTGTGTGTGTGTGTGTATGAATGCATCCATGCCATTGAGTGCCTCTGGAGGTCAGTAACAACTTGTGGAAGTTGGTTTTCTCCATCCGCTGTGGGTTCCAGGAGTTAAGCTAAGGTTATCAGACTTGGCACCGGTGCCTTCACTCCTTGAGCCGCCTGTGGTCCCTTAGTAGTGTTTTCTGGTGATGTTTTCGAGTTGCCATGAAGAATTATATCTCTAAAACATAAATAATTTTTTATTTTGTAAGTTTACTTTCTTTTGTTTAAAAAATATTTGAGTTTTATCTGTGGAGATCAGAGGACAACTTTGTTATTGGCTCTTCTCTTCCAACATACAGGCCACTGGAGTTGGAACCCAGGTCATTTAGGCTTAAGGGCAAGTGCCCATACCCACTGAACTGTCTGATAGTCTTCCTCGTCCCTGCCCCCCATCCTCCCCAACAGGAGGCCTTGTAGACCAAACCAGCCTTGAACTACGTAGCTGAGGATGACCTTGAATCTCTCTTTTTTTTTTTTTCCGTTTTTCGAGACAGGGTTTCCCTGTGTAGCTTTGCGCCTTTTCTGGAACTCACTTGGTAGCCCAGGCTGGCCTCAAACTCACAGAGATCCGCCTGGCTCTGCCTCCCAAGTGCTGGGATTAAAGGCGTGCGCCACCACCGCCCGGTGACCTTGAATCTCTTGATCCTCCTCCCTCTACCAGAGTGATAACTGTTACTAGCCTGTGCTCTCACCGTATCTCCCCATGGAGTGCTGGAGATCAAACCCAGAGCCTCATGCATGCCAAACAAGTATTCTTCATTGAATTAATTATATATATCTTCAGCCCTAGAACTTAATATTATTGACTAGATTATTTTTTAATTTTGTCGTGTTCTCATATGAATAAGAAATACACTAATTTCATAGGAATATAAAATGATACGTACCATCGTTGACTTGCCTTTAATTTTGTGTGAGGTAGGGAGAAAAGGGAAGAAATTTGAAAAGAAAAAAAATATTCCTTTCGGTCACCAAACTTAATTTTATAAAAATGTTTTCCAACCGGCCGTAGTGGTACAGTCCAGTAATCCCAGGACTTGGGCAGTAGAGGCTAGAGGATCAGGAGCCCAAGGTCATCCTCTGCTACATAGTGAGTTGGAGGTCAGCCTGGGCTACAGGAAAGACTGTCTCAAAAACAAGAAAACAAAACTGCATTTAAAGTTACTTCTCTAGAGTAAGGAACACAATTATTTTTTCTTGTTAACTAAAATGTTTTATTAACTTGAGCTTAGGAGATAACTTGGAGTTTATGTTCTTTTTTTTTTTTTTGGTTTTTTGAGACAGGGTTTCTCTGTAGTTTTGCGCCTTTCCTGGAACTCACTTTGTAGCCCAGGCTGGCCTCGAACTCACAGAGATCCGCCTGGCTCTGCCTCCCGAGTGCTGGGATTAAAGGCGTGTGCCACCACCGCCCGGTGGAGTTTATGTTCTTAAGTGTATAGGAGAGTTTGTTGTACACTCTAGTTCTACTCCCTATTCCTTCCCCTTTTAAAAAAATGCAGAGTTTATAGGGCTGAAGTAATGGCTCAGCAGCTAAGAGCACTTGCTGTTCTTCAGGAGGACCTCAGGTACAGCGACTCACACCGGCCAGCTCCAGGGAGGTTAGGCACTCTTCTGCCCTCCTCAGTTACCCTCCGCATGTTATAAATAATAAATAGATAAATAATGATGAATCTTGAATGTAGATTTCTAAGGCTATTATTGGATAAACTTTAGGACATTGTAACATGCCTATTTTTTGCAGAATTAAAAGTGGAATGGGTTTTCTCAGGTTGTTTTCTTACAGCTAATACAATTGTCAACTTATTTAATTAAAAAATTGCTATTTTTTTAGTTTTATGTGTAGGGGTGTTTTGCTTGTATGTATTTCTGTGTACCATGTGCATGTCTGGTGCCTGCAGAGGCCAGAGAGGATATTGGAGATGGTTGTAAGTTGACATGTGCATGCTAGGAATTGAACCTGGTTCCTCTGGAAAAGCAGCCAGTACTCTTAACTACTAAGCTATCTATCTCTCTAGCCCTTTGAGACAAGATTTTGCGTGTAGTCCAGGCACACTTCAGTGCCATGACCCTCTTGCCTCTGCCTCCTCAGTGTTGGGATTACAGGTATGTGCCACCATGCCTGATCGTTTTTGGACAGCATTCTTCTTATCATTTGATTTTAGCTAAGAAACTGCTTCAAGTTTTGCTTCAGAGACTTTTTAGAACTGCAAATCCACTTGTGGGTTTTTAAGTTTCTGCCTCAACACAGCATTAAAAGCAGGCTATAGGCCAGGCAACAGTGATAGATGCCTTTAATACCAGTACTTAGGAGGCAGAGGTAGGTAGGTGGATTTCTATGAATTTGCTAAGACTACATAGTTGAGACCCTGTCTCAAAAACCAGCAGGTTATGGTTTAGCAGCTGAAGATACTGCAGACTTCACTTGTGGGTGTTTTGGTGACAGGCAGGGCTCAGTGGCTTGGATTATTTGCACAGGAGTCGCATTGCTCTGATGCTGCTGCTTTTTCCTTTCCTTTCATCAGATGTGCTGGAAAGGTCAGTACTGCTGACTGTAAAGCAGTTTTGAGTGGAAACCCCACGTTAGTCACTTCCCTTGAGTCCCCAAGTGGTCATTGTCACTAAACTACTTAGGACTTTTGTTTAAGATTTGTACTTTTCCATTGCTCTGTAGAACTAGTGAGGTTCTCTAGATGTGACGGAGTCTGATTTGTTTTTTTTTTTCCTGAGACAATCTTGCTATACTGTCTAGGTCTTGAATCCCTGTGTTCAAGTAATCTCTTTCCCTCAGCCTCCTGAGTATGCCAGGCACATGCTACTGTGCTAGGCAGAGGGTCTGATTTACAAACATACCAGATGTTCCTAGTATTTTAATCAGGCTTGGAAACTATTTTCTATAAAATATATTCATGAGAAAAACTTGCTTTTTAAAGTTTTTAAGGTTTAGTGAGATTGATGATGATAGTGCTAGATGATTTACATGAATACTTCTTATTATTTACAGTGTTAAAAAGACCTGAAAACGTTTACTGAAACGTCCTGCAGTGAGGTAGCAGAACTTTTGAACAGGTAAGTGTGAAGAAAGTTGAGAGTTCATGCCGATAGTCTTCTGTCCCGTAAGGGTTCAAGCCGGGGCCTTGTGTATGCTAGGTAAGTGCTCTACCACTGACCTTTATCCATAGTCCCAAGCGGAGTTGACTTTTGCTTTGAGGTTTCAGGGTTTTTTTTGTCCCATTATTTCTTCTGAGGTTACAGATAGTGAGAAGAAACTTCTGGTACCTCTCAGATCCCTTTTGAATCAGAATAACAGACCCTTTCTGGATTGGTCATAGTGTAACTTTATGTTTTAAACTATTGTATTTTTTTTTGTTTGTTTTTGTTTTTTTTTGATGACGAGCAGAAAGAGCAGTGTTTTGAGGGCAAATGTGCTGAGAGGCCAAGGTATTTTTAAAGAACCCAAGAGTTGTTGCTTCAGGAGGGACTTGAACCAGAAATTGGGAAGCATTTGGGAGTCATGGTGTCTAGAGTGTACTTTTCTCCCAGTTGGTTGTGAGTATCCTCTTTTCTGTTCTGTCTTAGTTGTGCTTCTCTAGTCAGGCTATTATGCTTCAACAAACAGGTAGAAGAAAATGACTGCTTCATTCCTGGGGTCACAGATAAACTTAAACTCCAGTACCATGGCAAACTGATAACTAGCTCAGGGTCCTAGCCCTATGAAGGAAATAATGGATTGCGTTCGACTTGGTTTTCAGATAGTTGTGGCAAGGGTTGGGCTCTAGAAGGACAAACATAGTGAGCTGAAAGTCTTCCATTTGCCTTCAGGACTAGTGGTAGACCTCAGGAGTATAGAGTCGTAGCTCTTCTAGGGTAGACTCCAATGGAAACTTTTAGACATTTTTCTCTTCTAGCATTCTAGAACAGTTTTCATAGGTTTTAACTCAGATGTCTTGAAGATATAACCTATATGCATCTGTTTTGGAGAATGAGGCCCAGTAATTCTTACCATGCATCAATGTTGGAACCTTCTAGTTCATTAAAAAAATTTTTTTTAATTAAAAAATTACATTTATTATGTTGTATATGCATGTGAGTATGTGTGTGGGAGTGAATGCCATGACACTTGTGTGGCGGTCAGAGGAAAATTTTCAGGAATTGGGTCTCTTTTGACCATACTATGTCCAGGTCATGAACCCTGGTCATCAGGCTTGGCAACAAGCACCTTTTCTGACTGAGCTATCTTGCTAGCCCCAATTAAAATTTCTAGATTTGGGGCTGGGGAAGCTCAGGGTAAAGGTTTAAACAGGTGACTTTGGTTTGTGGAAAAATTTATTATTGGTTGTTTTTATAAATTTTAATTGTTGGTACTTTTTATAGTATTAAGCAACTCATGAAACTGTAGGATCTGAGGGTTCAGAATTTATACAGGATCTTCATGTTATTAACAGATGTTAGTAGTACCAGGCCAACCAGGACTACGTAGTGAGACCCCATCTACCAAAAACAAAGAAAAGAAACAAGAATAGAGAGTAGTAATAGAGACTTAGCTATTGGAGAAGATGAATAACATAGTATAAACTTTGGAAATTATATATTTCTGTACTCCAGAATTATTAGGAAATTTGGAAGTAAGTTTGTTGTTTTTAATACGGTGTTGGGGTCTAACCCAGGGCATTCGGTATGCCTAAGCACATGATTTATTACTGAGCTACATCCTTTGCTCCTTAAGTAAATTCTGTATGTATCTGTATGTGTGAGACAGGGTCTCACTGTATAACCCAGGCTAGCTTTGAATTTATAGTTCCCCTTCCTCTGCCTCCTGAGTGTTGGAATTATAGGCATGCACTACCACACTTGGCTTTAAACTTCATTTGGGGATAGAGTCTCTTGTAGCCGAGGCTGGCCTCAAGTTTGCTGTGTAGCTGAGACTGGCTTTCAACTCCTGTCCTCCTGACTCCACCTCTCAAGTGTTGTGGTTACAGATGTGTGCCACTGGAAGCTTTATAGTCTTTGAATCCCTTTATTGTTTGTTTGTTTGTTTTTGAAGACGGGATCAAATGATATAGCCTTTACCGGCCTGAACTCACTATGTAGAATTGCAGACTGGCCTGGGGCTCATGAGTGATCTTCTTGCCTTTGCCCACAAATGTTGGAATTAACAGACATGTGCCACTATGCCCAGTTTGTGGCAACTTTTCTGAGTGGAACATATTGAAGTTTTATTCATTTATTTTCATTTATTTTTTTTGTAGCTTATATATTTGTTGACTTCTAATTTTTAATTAATTTTTTTTTTTTAATAGCTGGGCATGATGGTATACACTTTTAATCCCAGCACTTGGGAGGCAGAGGCAGTTCAGTCTCTGAGTTCGAGGTCAGCCTGGTCTACATAGTGAGGTCCTGTCTCGAGAAAAGCAAACAAAATTATTATATTCACACACATGCGCGCGCACACGCACAGATAGATGATTATAACCCTTTTTACATTTAGTGTGTTTGTACCTGTGTCTGTATCATATGTGTGTGCATCAGTGTGGTCAGAGGCGAGGACAACTTTTGGCATTTGGTTCTTTTCCATCATGTGGATCCAGGAGTTTGAACTCAAGATTGTAAGTGTGGCAGCAAGTGTACCTGCCGAGTCATCTCTCCAGTCCTTATATCTAGATTTTTTGATGTAAAGCCTAGGGATTACTAATAAAAGTTGATACATTTATGTAACAATAGTTTATAGATCTGGCTTCTTCTGTACTTTATTCCCCTGGCTGAAGATGCTTTGGTGTGTGTGTGTGTGTGTGTGCGCGTGCACGTGCACATGCACAAATGTATGTTTACTTGTGTTTACGTGCATGTGGAGGCCAGGGGTTGACATTAGGTAGCTTCTTCAGTTGTTTTCTACTGTTATTTTTTGAGATTTCACTAAACCTGGAGCTCACCAATTTGGCTAGACTGGCATATTACAGGTGCATCCAGTCCACCTGACTTTTTCTGTGGATGCTGGACTCCAGGCAGGTCTTTGTGGTTGCCTAGCAGGTACCTTACTGACATGCCCCTCTCTCCAGCTCAAAGTCTTCTTTAGTTACCACATTATAGCTGAATTTATTTTTAAGGTTGAAGAGTTGTCTCAAATGATCTGTTTTCCTAACTCGGGACATTGAGTTAAGACATATTCAGAGTTTTGTGAGTTTTACAAAAATTTCCATATGTTCTGTGTAAAACTTTTGATAGTTCCTGGGTATCCCTCTTTGCAAAACATAGGCTCGAGGTAAGATTATTATGGGACATGGCCATGTTGATGGCATCCTGGGTTTTCTTAGGATGATTTTTTTTCCCCTTGAGACAAGGTCTGGCCATGTACCTTTGGCTAGCTTAGAACTCGCTGTGTAGACCAGGCAAACTCATAGAGATCTGCCTGCCTCTGCCTTCCTCAGCTGGGCTTAAAGGCATATGCCCTTACAACTAGCTCTAGAATGATAAATTTTTCTCCTTTCCAAAGCAGTAGGGGAAATGTTGGTTAACAATACCTTTTATTAGAGTCATCTTTAATGGCTAGCATGTTCTTTTGAGACAAAGTTTTTTTGTATTCAAGTTGTTCTGGGCCTGGAGGAAGTCTTAGGAGCTCCAGTCTTCAGCATTTGGTCCTTAGGTTGTAGGGACTGACAATTCACTGACAGCAGTATTGTCTTGGAACTTTCAAATTGGTACATCATGACAGAGCTGTGAAAGGTAGCCAAATCCAAGGACTCTCACTATCATCTGATTGGTAGTTGATGGAGCACTGCTCAAGCCATTGTATAACTGGATGCAAAGCTATCCTATAAAAGCAGTGGTCAGAGAACCTTAATTTGTGTTTTGGAAACTGACAACTTTTTGGAAGACTTCCAAGCCCCTTATCCCCCTGTTCTGAGTAGTAGAACATGTTCTTTAAAAGAGGGCTTACTATGATAGAAAGGGGTGAGAGTTAGTAATGAACAAATTGAGGATATTGAGGAAAGGAGGAAAAAAATTACCGTAAAAATTGCAAGGAGATTGGAAGGTATGCTAGGCAGGGTTCTCTAAAAGAACAGAACTGATAGAATGAATATATATTAAAAGTGGATGTGTTAGAGGCAGGGTTCTCTAAAAGAACAGAACTGATAGAATGAATATATATAAAAAGCAGATGTGTTAGATTGGCTCACAGGATGTGGTCTGGATAGTCCAGCAATGGCTGTCTCCCACTGGATAGGCTGAGGATCTAATTGTTCAGTCCACAAGGCTGGATGTCTCATCAGTCCCATTGTGGCCCTGAAGACTGGAAGGATTCCTGGAGAGCTGCTGATCTTCAGTCTGCATTGGAATCTTGAAGCTGATTCTGATACCTGGGATGCTGTGGCCGCAGGACAGATGAACTTGCCAGCAAGAGTGAGGGCAATCAGGCAGAAAGATTTCTTTTTTCCATGTTCTTTATGTGGACTGTCACCAGAAAGTGCCACATACATTTAAGGTGGGTCTTCCTGCTTCAAATAATCTGATCAAGAAAAATCCCTCACAGGAGTGCCCAGCAGCTTGGGTTTTAGTTGATTCCAGATGCAGTCAAGATTAGCCATCACAGTATTGAGGGGGCCATATCAATATATAGTGAAAAGCAGAGAGCTGTGTATTTAATTTTCTGTCACTTATTACCTGGGAGTTTAGACAAGTTAACTAATTGGAACCTTATTTTCCTAACTATAAGGTATATCCCTGGAAAGTTGTGGTAGTTAATATAAAATGTAAGCAATTCCTGGCCTGGCATAGAGTAGTTAAATGATAGCTTTTATGATCTTTTGTGATTGTTATTACTATGAAAATAGGTAAATCTTAAGTCTAAAATTTTATATAATTTTTGCAAGTTTAGTGTTTTGCTTTTTCTTTCTTTTTTTTTTCTTTTGATTATGTGTTTTAAGTATTTTGCCTACATGTATGTATGTATACCACATATGTGCCTGATGCCTGAGGAGTTCAGAAGAGGGGATTAGATTCCCTAAAAGTGAGCCACAATGTGGGTGCTGGGATCTGAACCTGTGCCCTTTGTAAGAGCAGTAAGTTCTCTT